AATGGTGTATATAAAGTGCTTAGTACATAATTCTCAGTTAATGGAAGTTGTTAATAATTCCATTTCTTATAATGATCTAAAATGAGGAAAAGTTGGAGAAAAAGGATGGTTACCCTGGCATTTTTCATATTAATGAACCCTGGAAATAACCTAAAGATCCAACATGAGGGGCACGGTTAGGCAGACTACGAACATACACACAAGGGTCCCGCAGGCTACAAAGATACCTGGTACAAGTCCATAGGACGGGATATCGGTAGGAGGTTGCAGCTCTGTAAAATATATACAGGAAAAAGGCTGGCAGGGAATCTACAGCAATGCTAATAAGTAGTTGAATTAAAGTAATGGGATTCGGATGAACTTGTCTCTCTTACCTAATTTCCAGATTGTCTATAAGGCCACTGGATTATTTTTACAAACAAAAGTCACTTGAAAAGGGCAGATTTTGCATGGATCTGGCCAGAGAGGTGAGCAGGGCAACAGTCCATGGGCCCCTAGAGGCCGAATCTGGACCATTCTTACTTAGTGCAGTGAAACTTCAAAAAATCAGGATGCCACCAGTCAAGACCCTCGTGTGACTGGAAGGTTTTCTGTGTCTTCCCTACTGGGAGACAAGGTGTGCACTCTAAAGGGCTGGGCTGCTCTTAGATCCACCACTGACTGCAAGCCCCTTAACCGTTAACACTCAGAAGACAGCCATCCCCAGGCTGTGAAGATTAAACAGGCAGTGGGAGCACAGGATCATCTTCCTCTGTGCTCTCACAACTCTGTGTGGGCTATTGCGCCTGGCCCCTACGGCCGCCTCCCAGCAGGGGACAAACGATGGGCTACTTGGTGGAGAGAAGCACTGGGATCAGCATGGTCACTCCCTGTCTTGGCCTCAGACTGCACACAGGGTGCGGTCCTAAGGGGAACAGGTGGTACTGATCACAGTGCTGCCCTACAGGGCTTGCTGTTGGCTCTTTCTAAGCCTCACATTGGGTGGGAAATTCCCTGTACCTGGCAAGCCAAAGAGGGATATAACTTGAGGCCTGGCAGGAGTGCACACTCTGAGTGACCCAGCAAGACCCACCTTTAATGGGTGGGCGCCGTGAACCTCTCTGCATCCACCACAGTGGCCATTGTCCTCACTACTCAGAGTAGCACAGAAGCATAATTAGGTTCTTACCAAGAGCCTGGACAGTAGAGAAGAAAGGACTGGGCCTCTGTCATCAGATAGCCAACCCCACCATTTTCTAGCCCTGAGATCTTGGGTAACTCACTCAAAGTCTCTCTCTGAGCCTCAGTTTCTCCATCTGTTAAATGGGAAAGCCACCACCTACCTTTCACAACCTTAAGGGATATTCAGTAAATTTACTTCTCTTTCCTTCCCCAAGTAGAAACACTCAGGCACCAGTGGACACTGCTTCTTTGGCAGTAAGATGACTGAGCAGCTCTGGTTCCCAACTCCAGCCTCCAGGAATCCAGAGAGGAAGGGTGGTGTGCTGGGCAAGTCATCTTAGGACATGGAGCTGTCTCTCTGGGCAAAGCCAGACTAGAAATGGACTCCCACACACTCTGTACCAAGGAAAGCAGCAGAGTAATGGACAGAATAAAACCAAGCAGGATTTTGAATCCGAGGTGACAACTAGATCTTGGGAACACTGGTCAAATACCTTTTCTGAGCTTGAGTTCCCACTCAGTGGAAGGGGAAACTGCTAGCCCAAGACAGCCTGGAACGTAACAGCTGCTCAACTGCACTTCCTGCTGGCTGGCCTCTAGCCCACGCCTCTCCTGCAGGAGCCCGCCCAACCCTAACTCTTATCCTAGGGAATCCCCCAGCATTCCATCAGCTCTGTTCTGGATAATAACGAAAGTAGCTAATACTTCCTGAAGAGAAATGTTAACTGAATATTATCCAACTAATGTTAACTAAAAAACATAGGGAATGTTCTCCCCAGAAATCTCTGAAGTTTTCTTCCATTTGCCAACAAACGCTTTTAAGGGGCTAGGAAATCTACCCGATTGAGGAATAAAATTTGACATAAAATTTCACTTAGGAAATTCAAGTCAACAAAAGAGTCAGCATGGGAACTCCCTTTTAAGGCCTCCTTTTAAAAATCCGATGGAGCTGGCACCTAGTAGGCGTTCAAAGACACTTGCTGAAGGGGTGGATGCGTGAAAGGACAGATGGAGCAATGGCTGCATGGATGAGAGCTGGAAAGGAGGAAATGAACTTCAGTGACGGACTGGCCAGAGAGCTGATGGCGATGCTACTGGGCCTCGATGGACCCCAGAATGTGTGGCGCAGACAGGAGACAGTCTTAGTCTTCATCAGCTCCATCTTGCTGTCCACAAAGTTAATTACTTAACGTGCTATTGGAAGTGAGAGTGGCAAGAAGTCAGGAGGAATCTCTTTCCTCAACTTCATTTATTGTTTTTTTTTGGCAGCCGGCAGGTACAGGGACCTGAACCCTTGACCTCGGTGTTACAAGGCAGCGCTCTAACCAACTGAGCTGACTGGCTGGCCCTCTCAACTTCAAAGATGCTGTCTGCTGCCCAAATCCTCTAAGTTTCCAATGCACTTTGATATTCCCAGTGAAGAAAAAGATCCATGATTCAAGAAAACCCAGACCAGATTAAAGGCCAGGCACCACGTCCATGTGCCCAACACAGAATCACCCGCAACAAAGGCGCATTAGTATGTGGCTCCTGCCTGCTGGCTTGTCTTCTTGCGTCTCCCAACACAATGCTGACAGATTGGTGGAGCTACTTTCTTCCCCTCCCCAGAACAATATTTTATGAGGAGTCTGTTTTATTAAAATATTTTCCACTGGATGCTTCCTGTGTTTCAAGAAGTTGGTCTTGCCAGCTGGAGCCGATGACAGTTGACAAAAACACATCCAAGTGCTGTTGTGACATGGCATTTGGAAGTGGAGGAGCACAATGGGGGGGTGGGGAGACAGCATAGGAAGAGACACAGGAAAACACCCGGGTTGCACCAGAAATGTCTGTCGCTGGCATTATGGGAGAACAGCCTCTCCCCCTGCTCATTAAAAAAATGCGAAAAGAAACCCTTGGAATGACGTCCTTGAGACGTACCTCTCTATCTCCTCATGGGTCAGAGCTGCTGTGATGTATGGTCACAGAAAACCTGTCATTTCTTTTCTATCACTGTTAGCTGCCAACCCTCCAAACTAGCCCCCATGCTCCCACTGGTTCATTTCAACCCCAAATGTTTCCCGACGAGAAAGCTAAAACAGGGCATACTGCAAATAGAAACTAAAAGTGATACCAACACAGTTCAGGAAATAACCAGGACAATGGGATTATCAGACACTGGCTCTTTGGTACACACTAGAGAGCCATCCCCCATATCATCGGGTCTGGAAAAGTAACAGCATAAATAAACGTGATTAGGAAGTCTAACCTCTAATGGGGAACCTGGCCACAAAACAGGTGATGTTGTTCTATAGGATGTAAAGTGTTGTTGGTCTGGGTGTTTTTGTGCAATGCAAGGATATTCTGGGTTTACATCTCAGAGCTATAGGCCCATGACTCTGTATCCCAGTACAGTGTCTAAAAGGCATAGCCCAGATTTAAAGAGGCGACTTTAAAGAAATGTGAGTAATTTCTTCCCCCTCAGGAGAAATCCTTAAGTTCTGGGGAACTCTGAAGCCATGCAGCATTGTGTCCACAAGGGGGCAATCATAATCCACAGCAGTCATGGCCAGGGACAAATCCCTCAATGTTTCCACCATCCTACTGTGCAAAGTAAAAGTTAAACCTACACCCAAACTTCAGGAGCCCTCTCTTCCAAATTTCTCATAACCAAGCATGTCCTGACACACACACACACACATGTGCATGCATTCCCAGAGTTTTCTGGACAAAGTCAGGGGTCTGCCCAGGCAGGCTGGTTCTATAAAGGCACGGTGGTCTCAAGCAGTACCCATAGTGTAAAGCAGAGAATCCTGGGAGAGCTGAAGTGTAACAGCCTGGGTCAGGTCACAGCTTGACATTTCAGAACTATTTCTTCCTTTTGGCTCCCATTCTGGCTAGGACCTGCCATCTCCCTTAACTTCTTTCTCTGAGACATTTTCTGAAAGCAGGCCAGAAGTGAGGGCATTCGCCTTTTAACCCAGAAGACTTCAGAGTCCCTGCAGTGATTTTTCTGATTCTCCCAATGGCCCTAGACCAGGATGAATTTGTGCACTTTTCAAGGCATCACAGGAGCCAATGAGTAGATGCTGAGTTGTCTGGGCAGAGATTAAGGGCTGTGTGCATCGGGGACAGACGGAAGCCGTGCTGCCTTCTCCAGCTGGCTCTGGAGTCAGGCCTGTCTGCAGTGCTCAGCCTCACCCCATTCAAGGCAGCTCCATCTCTGGCCACTGCTTGTCTGCCTGCCTGGCTCCTTCACCTCGTCTATACAATAGTTACTCAGCAAATGACTCTAAGGTGGTCCTATGTGAGGTACTGGGCATGACACCCTGTGCCTGCCCCTGAGCAGCTCCAGGTCTGAGGCCAGGTAGATGAGAAAACTCCCAATAACACAAACACTATGGCACAGGACCACAGTCCTGGTCAGGGCGGAGCGGTGATTATGGACATTCTTGTGTATAAATGTGAGCCACTGAGACCTTAAGCACCACCAGGCCTAGGAGGTGGTGGCCGCTGTTGAACAGCTGGCCGCCTCGCCCAGGTTCCTAATCCTCACCTGCTGACTGTACATCTTCAGCATAAGAGGCCTGGGACCTTCTTCTGAGTCTGTCTGAGAACTCTCTGGACCTCACCACTCAGACACCCAGCCCAGGTGCCTGTCTGCCTGCCTCCGGGGCCTCCTGCGGGTGTTGCAGCCGGCAGAAGCCGACGCTGAAGATCAAGCCTTGCTCCCCGACTGACCTCTTTGTGAAACACCCAGGGAAGCCTCTCAAAGGCTGGGGCTGCACGTGTGGGCTCCACAAAGCGCTGGCCCTGCTGGGTTCTTACAGACAGAGGGGAGGGGAGCAGGGGGGACTCACTGCTCAGGGCTCGAGACGGATGTCCTCCGGCCTTCCACTGTGATGTTGCTCTTCGGTCTCTTAATGACATGTGGACGGGGTGGGCGCACCTAGAACGGGCACGAAGAAAGCCCCAAGTAGGGGTGAGTTGGGAAAGTCACACCGGAACATCTGAAGATTTGAATAAGCAGCCCTAAATCCCTAAACAAAAGAAATGTTTAGGGATTTTCAAGATATAGGCTACAAAAGCCCCGCTTGCCATGGAAACATCACCATTTACTTTGCAGCAGAGATATGTTAACTGGAATTTTGTGGCCTACACAAATCAGAACGATTGGAAATCTGGAAGAGCCTGGTTTCCTCATCTGCAAGATGGGCACTATTCCACCAGCCTCCTTGTAGACCTGCACTGAGGGTTCAATGAGATGATGTCCATATAGGACCTGGGACACAGAGGCCCTTATCAAAGAAAATGTCCCTCTCACCTTCCTCTGGAACCCAGAAACTGGTTTTGTAGAAAAAGGTTTCACTCAGACTTGTTTTTAGGGTACACACACTAGTTATTTTGCTCTTTTTACAACTGAATTATAGGATTCTTATTTTCCTCTCTAAATGGGAGAAGGGAAGTAAACAATAGCAGCAGAGTGCGCCAGTGAAAACCATCTGCATGCGTGCCAGGCCTCCTGTGCCTGTGTTCCCAGCAGGGCCCGGCCTGGATGCTGTGCACCTCGTGAGGCTCTGCTCACTGTGCTGACCTGGCTCGAGGGTCGGCGGGGGGCGTATTAGGAAGTACACAGCACCCTAATCCCACAGCGTGACAAGATAGGTTTTTCTGCCCATAGAAAAAGATGCCCCCATTCCCCACCAGAGCCCACGATGGGTGTTAGGCTAAGAATTTCTAGTTGCCCTCAGAAGGATACTCTTTTGGTCCAATCAACATTATATAGCTTTAAATATGGCACTGTCATCTCTAAACATTTCCAGTGCCAGAGAGGACAGAGAGAGCTAGGAAAGTCGACCTGTGAATTTCATTGCCAATAAGAACCGAGCATCCCCGTGCAGGGGGCTTTCTTTCTCTGCAGATAAGACGCCGTAATTGCTGAGTTTCATGTGCACGCTTCATTTCCTGCCTGCCTTTTCCCTGAACTGCACCCCCCACCCCACCAGCAACTTGTGGGTGACATAGTGCAATGGATTAGGAATACAGATTACAGAAGCTGGCTGCATAAAGGACAAGTCTTTACGGACACTCATCCAGCCCTCAGGTCTGCACACGTCTGATCTAACCAAAGTTTTTACTGTGGAGTGGCCAGTCTGATCTCAGCCTTGTTTGGCAAGTCAGAGATGTGGTTAAAGCCAAATGCATTCCACCAAACTTGCTTCCTTCTATGGGGTTATTGTGAAGATTCAACCACACGATGCAGGGAAAGCCACAGCATGGGGTCTGGTACATAGTGGGGGCTCAATAAATGCTCCTCTTGCTTCTTTGTGACCTGAACGCCCTCTTCCTGTCAATAACAAAAGGCAGATTGTGGGGGGGTGGGGGTTCTCTGAATTAGAAGATGAGTTTTGGGATGATCTCATCCCTGCCTAGCATCCTGCACAGTGCCTGTACATAGCGGTTGGTCGCTCAGCAAGATTTTCAGAAACAAATGAATGTTGTTGCTTGGAATCTAAGAAGTACATCATCCTGTTGCTATCATTATCATTGTTATTAGAACTGTGCCTGCCACACAGCATTCAGTCAACATTTTCTGAAATAAACCAATGGCTGTATCCGCCACCCATTCTCTGAACTGGTTTCCCCAGCCAGAGCCAGAGGCCTCTCTCGGCTCAGCTGTAAACAGGATCACCTGGCTGGAGTGATCCCCCAGACTGCTCGCTACAAGGGCAGGAGTGCTGTTGGGGTGAAGGAGCAGCTCTGCCACCGCCCCAGAGGCCCTGGGTCAGGGCTTCCAAGAAAGGTCAGACATTAAGGCCTGTCAGCTCGTCCTTGCACATGGCTGCTCCTTGCTACAATAAAGGCGGGTTAAGAATGTGAACTTGTGGCTGAAATGGGGGGATTAAGTTTGTGGCAACTTCAACTGAACTTGCAACGTGGTGAAACATGGGGAAAAAGAACAACAGAGCTAATTAGACGAGCTGAGCTGTCAGAGTGCCGCTGAATGGCTCAGCGCCAACAAACAAAAGGAATGGGTTGGCAATCAGCAGGATCGATGGAGGAGACTGCTTCATTAGGGATGATAAAACAGACAGAGCAGAGAGAGGGGGAGGGGAGCAGCAAGTCAGCGAAGGCAGGGGAGGGAGAGAAAGACACAACAGACCCGGAGACAGTCACTCTCACAGTTAAAGACACACCTGGAATCACACACACCTGATTGGTGTGGACAATGCCAGACACAGAATTGTACTCATAGACAACCATCCAGAGATACACCAAGGCCTTGAGACTCCAACGTACACACAAACTCACAAATATACACTCTCAGAGGAATGCACAAGACCTGAAGTCACATAGACGAATCACACACACACGGCGGCAGACCACAGCCAAGCACAGACACACACAGACAAAATGGTTTAATTAAGCCTGAATCACAAGACGATGTGGACAACTCCCGTCATATTTCAGCGATCACACCCGTCTTTCGGGGTGCTTAGGGAGGGTGGGGGCTGGGGATGAGGGAAGAAACCACAGGCACACACAACACCGACTGGCCCCACCAGTGCTAGGATCCCAGAGCAGCGCCAGGAAGAAAATGCTAAACAGGGATTTCCAGCTCTGTTCAAGGGGGACTGGAGGGGAAAGTTGGGAAGCCAGCCAATTCCCCACTGGATTTAAAACCTGAGAAACCTAAGTCGGCAGGGTTAAATGTGTATTGAATACAAAAGCACCGGGGACTGGAGGGGAAAGTTGGGAAGCCAGCCAATTCCCCACTGGATTTAAAACCTGAGAAATCTAAGTCGGCAGGGTTAAATGTGTATTGAATACAAAAGCACCGAGTACATTTGCTTTTAATGGTGAGCAAGAAATAATAAATACAGAGCTTATAAAGTGCCTCACATGCGGGCCGACGGCAGCTTCCTCTCTCCAGTGAGCCCCAACCCACTCCCCTTAGTCCGTGACACACCAGCATGGTTTTCTTCTGCTCTTTCCTTTTTCGTCTTTTTAAAAAGAAAACCCAAATCCTTTGGTAATATCTGAACTCCAGCTACAGGTGCCAGGCTACAAAGCTCCTTCCAGAAAGGCCGAATGGCTAGCCCCCCCTTGCCCTCACCACCCCAGGCCACTGGCTGTGCTTCTGCCCTGAATGTCTGCAGCTAAGTGACCCGGTAAAACCCGGCTGGGGGCCAATGGCTCCTGACACAGGAGCTTGTCAGGCTGTCCTCTCTGAGGCCATTGACGGGTGCTATACCCCATATCTCCCAGTTTCCCACTTGATGTGCAGTGGTGTCTACTGGAAATGCGGGCATGAATGTGTGGAATGAATAGTCCCCAGGGCCTCGGCGACCATGGGGCCCAGAACGCACACACCTTCTAGGGCTCCCAAATTGATCTCTCAGTGGCCCTGTTCAGCAGAAGGTGTTTGGGGGTGTATGTGCCCACTTCATGACAATATGTATGAACACTATATGACCTCATACATATATGACTTCATTGCCTTCACTAGGTGGGTAATGCTAAACCCATTTTACAGATGACTAAACTAAGGCTCAGAGAAGGTAAGGGTCTTGCCTAAGGTTATACAGCCAGGAAGTGGTCCAAGCTGTGACTCAAAGCAGGGCAGGCATCTCTGAATTCCAAGCCCAGGAGAGCTGGTCCTCCAAGGCACCCTGCCCCTCTTCAGCATACCATAAACCTAGGGGGTGCAGCCCTGAGTGCTGGGCTAATCACCTCCCACACCAGCCCAGTGACAGAGGCAGCTGCTACTCAGGCTTTCTTCATGGCAACATCTGCCTCTCCACGTCCTCAGCTGCCCACCCCGCCTTCCAATTTGCGTGAGTCCCCAAACCAATGAGACTACACAGGGTCCACTGTAGCCATCTCTAATACTTGAATTTTTCCAGGAGGAACAATCCTACCATGAATCATGCTTTCCAAGCGATTCCCTGCTGGCCTTGGATCCTAGTCCCTAAGCGGAATTCTGAGAGCTACCCACTGGCTGACTTTGGCTTAAGAGGAGGCCGTTTGTAGGTCAGGAACAAGGAGAAGCAGTGGAGAGAGGCGGCCTGGGCTCAAAGGCCGGCTTGGCCTCTTATCTCTATGGCCTGGGCTACAAATTGGGAAGCATCTGTCCCTCCTGGGCTGTCATCAGAGGAGAAGCAGTGGAGAGAGGCGGCCTGGGCTCAAAGGCCGGCTTGGCCTCTTATCTCTATGGTCTGGGCTACAAATTGGGAAGCATCTGTCCCTCCTGGGCTGTCATCAGGACAAATGAGACAATAATTGTACAAGTACCCAGCACAGTCCTAGGTACATTAAAAGGTGCTCACTAAACGTTAATTCTCTTTACCTCTGTATCACTGCCAGGACCTAAACTGCCCTAGAGATTACACAGGAGGCCCACCCGGCTGCTGAATGATTTTTTCCTCAACTGAAGGCTCTGCCCCAGTACTTTATGCTAAGTACATCTCCATTTCCATGGAGACAGAGGGTCCAGGGAGCTTGGAATGCTAGAAAGACCAGGGGTTGTAGAGTCTGGTGACCCTATTTGCAGTTGAGGGACTTGGGCGAACTCATCGAGCATCAGTTTTCTCATCTCTAAAGTGGGTGGGGATGATGCCTACTTCACTGAGCTACTGTGAGGCAACTGGGTGAGGGGACCAAACATGACCTACTGACAATAAAATCCTAGGCAAATGATGGTTATTCATAAACTGGGCCATTCTTCAGAAGCTGGAAGATGTAGAAGCCTGTGGAGAAGAAAGAGAACTGCCCACTGTGCACCAGGCGCTGTGCTGGGCACTCTGCAGATGTCATCCACATTCACTCTCGCAAAACCCCTCTCTGAAGGAGGGTACGGTAGAGGGAGAGAAGGGGCTCAGAGAGCCTCAGCACTTGCTCAAAGTCGCACACCTTCGGCATTCAAGCCTCGCTCTGTCGACTTCCCAA